AAGATGTCTTTCCATAATTTATGTGGATGCTCACTCAGCCTTTTCCCAGATGGAATCCAGGCAGAGGATAAGACTAGATGGGAACAAATTTGGAAGATTTGGGGTCCCTGATAAGTCTTTTTCCTGAAGGCTTTCTGAGGGTCCTGAAGTGGCCTTAACTTACCAAGGGAAAGATAAGCATTGGTTAGTTAGTTTGGTTCTTTGATTACTTTGGTAAAAAAGAGTATTGTGGACTTTTATGTTCCTCATACTCCAGGGAAAGCTCTAATTTTAGAATCAGGACTTTTATGTTCCTCATACTCCAGGGAAAGCTCTAATTTTGATTACTTTGGTAAAAAAGAGTATTGTGGACTTTTATGTTCCTCATACTCCGGGGAAAGCTCTAATTTAGAATTTTAGACTTACAAGTCTTTGGAAGTCCATTTATATTCTTATTTTAGGTACTTTGTCTTAAACTGTGCCAGAGGTATACCTTACTACCTCTACTTGACATTCCTAACCTACAAACCTTTTGAGATTTCTTTTTATCATATGTAACTTTTATAAAATTAAAAGTATTATTAGGATAGCACGGAGATTAATAATACGAGCTTTGCACCCAGATTTCCTGAGTTCTGATCCTGATTTTTCCACTTAATAGCAGTGTGACCTTGGGCAATTATTTAACTACTCTGCCTCCATTTCTTCATCTGTAATATGGGGATAATTACTTACTTTCCTTACTGCATTTTTACCAGAATTAGATGAATGCATTGTTCATTTATTTAAAAGTAGAACTGTTAGAATAGTTCCTGGTACATAAGTTCCCAATAAGTATTATCTATTGTATTATAAATGAGAAAATTAAAGCAGCTACAGGTTAAGTGACTTCGGAAGTTATCCAACAAGATGGCTAAACCAGGATTAGTGTTTATTTCAACATTTACTCAACTGTGAGTGTATTTAACTGGTCCGCTGTGCTATACTGACGTAGAGACCAGAGGTCAGGAAACTTTTTCTTTCTTTCTTTTTTTTCTTTAAATTTTTTTATTGTTAGTTAATCACCATACATTGCATCATTAGTTTTTGATGTAGTGTTCCATGATTCATTGTTTGTGTATAACACCCAGTACTCCACGCAGAACATACCCTCTTTAATACCCACCACCAGACTAACCCATCTCCCACCCCCCTCCCCTCTAGAACCCTCAGTTTGTTTCACAGAGTCCATCGTCTCTCATGGTTCGTCTCCCCCACCGATTTACGCCCCCTTCATTCTTCCCCTCCTGCTATCTTCTTCTTTTTTTTTTTCTTTTCTTAACATATATTGCATTATTTGTTTCAGAGGTACAGATCAGGAAACTTTTTCTTAAAGGGACAAATCAGTTAATAAATATTTTATACTTTGCAGGACTTAGAGTCTCTTCTGCAGCTACTCAACTCTCATTAAGTCCTGTAGAAGCAGCTATAGACAGTATATAAATGAATAGGTATGGATGTGTTCCAATAAAACTTTATTTACAAAAACAGGTTGCTGTTTTTTGTAGACCTCTGCTTCAGATACTTCAGTCATACCTGAGTAGAGACTTTGGATTCCATTTGGTTTAGTTTTTTTTTTTTTAAGATTTTTTTATTTATTCGTTAGAGAGCGAGAACGAGTGTGCACTCACGAGTGCCCCAGAGCATGAGCAGGGGGGAGGGGCGGGGGAGAGGGAGAAGCAGACTCCCTGCTGAGCGGAGAGCTGGACGTGGGGCTTGATCCCGGGACCCCAGGAACATGACCTGAGCCTAAGGCAGACACCCAGACGCCCAACCGACTGAGCCACCCAGGTGCCCTGGATTCCATTTAGTTTTAAAGTATGAAATAGGTGTTATTATAATAAACAATACTTTCACCTCCAAATGATTACGTCTAACATGTTATTCTCACTTATGATGGTCATGCTTTAAAAGACCAAAGGGATTTAGAAAATAAGCAATAGTAGTAAATATGTTTTCCCATCTCAAAGGGATATACAGAAGTCACTTAATGGTTTGGAGGATTATTCTTAGAATTTGAAATCTGATTTGGGCAAGATGCTAAGGATTGTTTTATTAAATGAACACAAATAGGGGCGCCTGGGTGGCCCAGTCGGTTAAGCGTCTGCCTTCGGCTCAGGTCATGATCTCAGGGTCCTGGGATTGAGTCCCACATTGGGCTCCCTGCCCAGTGGGGAGTCTGCTTCTGCTCCCTCTGCTGTTTCCCCTGCTTGTGCTCTCTGGCTCTCTCTTTTCTGTCAAATAAATAAAATAAAATAAAACACAGAAATACAGACTTTTTTTGTTGTTGTTAATTTTTGTGTAGGAAAAATGCATGAGTCAAGTAACAGGCTATTTGTGATTATCCTTGTCATTACACAACAGGTTTTTCTGCTAGGAATGTTGTTTGAATGGGTTTGGATTTTTTGTGGCTTACTTTTCAGTTTAATAAAATGTTCTTTTTAAATTAAACTTGTCAGCGAACCTTTTTGTGAGTGGCTGTGTTGGTTAGTTCATATTTATAGCTTACGTCTGTTTCTGAGGAAATGACTAAAGTCTCTTGCATTTGATCAAAACTGTATAACAAAGGACATCTTTGACTTACTCAAACAAGGCTCATGATGGAAACTCAAAAAATCTAATGGTTCATGTTTATAAATGTTTTTATGTATTCAGTCTTGGTTGGGCCAAATAATCAGAGCTCTGTGCTAAGGGAGGGATTGAAAATACTCAGTGTTTCTCAGTTGAATGGATTCCTCTGGAGCAAGTTCAGGCAACACTTTCTTACAAGTCTTTAACCTTTTTTATTGCACATGTTTAGAATTGGGTTTTATAGAATACAGGTATATATTTTTTCTTCTCTCTAAACCATTCCACGGATTTTCTCCATCCTCATCTGTATCCTATAGGCCCTGACCTGTGTGACATCTAAACCTCGCACATGTGATTTCTAGCAAGGAGGCTGATGGGGATTGGAAAGGGGCCCCAGGGATGTAACTGACTCACAGAAATGCGCTGTGTCTCGATCCCTGTGGAGGTCCCTGTTTCCCCAGCTCTGGAATATCCTCAGGCTCTCCCCATCCTAGTCTGGTCCCCTCACTGTTGGTCCCTTCCTCCTGGCAATGTTGGCATCCTTCCTTCTGCTCTTCGCTCCAGGGCAAGAGATGAAGGCACAGGCTAGGCTCCTGCCTACGCAGACCGAGGTTGACCTGTGCTCTGGAACCCTGGCTAGAACTCACATTCCCCCACAAAGGCCCTGCTAGAAATGGTGGTTGGATTGTGCTGTGATTATTGTTCTAGATTAGTTATGTGACAAACCTGCTGGAATTTTCTGTGCTGTTACTGTAATCGTTAATTTCAACCCTTTTATGAGCGCTCAAGGAAACCATTTCTCCAACCAAATCTCGGATCTAAGTCTAAGACAAGAGTGAAGTTTCTGTGCCGGCTGTCCCACATCACTCCTCCTGCCTCCGTTCTCAGAAGCACCTATGGAGTAGGGTTCCTACCACTCACTTTGAAAACTCTTGATGAACATAACTCTTTATTTTTGGAGCCCACGCTAGTCTTAAAATTGGGCTTGCCTATGTATACCATTAATTGCTTAAGGTTCACCTGGACGGGTGCATCTGTATGGGTTACATATGAAGCCAGCTTTAGGGGCAACCGAATGGACAGTTGCTTACCTGAGTCTAGAGATTTAAGACAGCCTCTATCGCCCATTCATGCCTGCAATTCCACTGTCAGTAATGCATTTTATTTCTGTGTTAAGCACCTGCTTCTTTTGAAGCTCTTTTTTCGAAGGAAAATGTCCTTGGGAAAGATAGCCATTGAGCCACTTGAACCTTAGCACTGATCCTATTGTTTCCCTACATAATTAAACATCTGGGGTCACCGACTCCTCAAAGGGGTAGAGAGAGAAGGAAGGAGTTACACTGCTACATCATAATTTTGTCGGGGACTGGCTCTGACTACACATTTGATAACCCCATATGAGGTAGCATCTCTAGTATTTAACTTGAAGGTACTTTGCTTTCTTATTTAGGTGGAGGTAGTTATGGGGTATTTGAATAGTGAGCACCTCAAAAGGAATTTCTATTCCTAAATATTCCTTTCTACCAAAATATATTTTATTACTGTAATGGGGAGGATATACATGCCCATACATATAGTACTGGGATTTTTTTTTTCCCCTAAGTATATGTTATTTACAAGAGGTAAGGAAATCAAGTCTAGCTGTAAGTCTAGAACATGGAGTATATGAATTTCTACCATATTGTCTGCATATTGATTCTTTTATTGATTGATTTCCCCCTTCCTTTTGATTGATTGATTTTTTTTTGACCTTAATAACTAAATATTATAAAATTGTGGTTCGTTTATTTACTCAACAGACATTCATAGAGTGCCTAACATGGGGCAGGTACTTTGAGCTAGAAAAAGAAATGATGGTGGTTTTCTCCTGAAACTCAGGCTTCAAGGAATATTTGAGGTTGTCCAGCAACTGGGAACTAAGGAAGAAATAGAAGAAGGGCGTGCTGGGGGGAGGGGGGAGGAGAAGAAGGGGGAAGAAGGAAAGAAGGATAACTAGAAGAAAGTTAGTTAAATCTGTTAGTCCCTAACACATTGTCTTTTTCTTTTTTAATTTTTTAATTTTTAAAGATTTTATTCATTTGAGAGAGAAGAGGGAGAGAGAGAGCGCACAAGCAGGGGGAGCGGCAGGCAGAGGGAGGGGAAGAAGCAGACTTCCCCAGCTGAGCAGGGAGCCAGACATGGGGCTCAGTCCCAGAACCCCAGGATCATGACCTGAGCCAAAGGCAGACGCTTAACCGACTGAGCCACTCAGGCGCCCCACATTTTCTTGTTTGTAATTACATACGTTACCTAGTTTGATGCTCTCTGTTGCTTATAGAATAATTTATCATCTAGAGGCTTTGTTTTTTTTTTCCTGGTGTGCTCTAATTTGAAATTAGTTTTAATTAACCTTTTTTATATTTGTTTCTTTTCAGTATAAAAGAATTTTATGGACCAGTTGGCTAATAAGTACATGGAAGTTTTGAAGAGCTGAAGAAAAAAATCAGCATTAGACTTGCTTTTTAAAATGTGAGTAAACTCTCTCCTTTCCATGGTTTATTTCTGACATCTTTGAAGCCTGCAGTTACCTTTCTGTATATTCAGTGTGTAAATTTTTTCCCAGTAGTAAAGTTCCTTGACTATGTTGGTCAACTCAGTAAGTCTATGAGAATTGATGACCCACCCCCCTCTTGAAAAGTTTAATTCTCGAAGTGCTATGACTAACATAAGTGACTGTAGAATTTAGACGTGTTGTGGCAGTCAGTGGGGCAAATCTATTTGGCATCGAGAAGAAAAACACAGACCAGGTAGCACATGAAAAGCACCACCCTCTTCTCAAATCCTTTATTTGTCCCTCAGACCATTTCAGTGCCACATCGAAGTCAATGAGAATTGGGTCAACCTGTTAATGACCCTAGAGGCTTAGAAAAATGAGATGTTTTCACATAAGCTTATTTACTCCCTTCCTCCTTGCTACTCTTGTTCAGTAATAATAATAGCACTTAACTATTTATTGAGCATCTGCTAAGTGACAAGTACTTGACTCCTTCAAGTCAATCAGTATTTATTCAACAAATACTTTTTCTGAGTGTCTGCCATGTGCCAGGCACTGCTCTGACACCTTGTATTATTGTCATGGCAACCTTGCAAGGTAGGAGTTAAGATTTCAGGGATCTACTTGAGGATCCTGAGGTTCAGAGAAAGGTAGGGAGTATGCTGACGGTCACACAACTGGTAAGTGGCAAAACCTAGAGTGTGACCGCGGCGCCGACTTTTTCTCATTGGCCATATCCTAAGTGGTGTTTAAAATGCTCTTCCTGGCCCTGCTTTTGGTAGGGAGACTGGAACCTTCTGGGTTGTATTCTTAATAGGAATATGATCCTAATCCTTCTAAACCTTGGCTGTAGTCACAACAAGGAAGGAAATTAGAGAAACATCCTCCCACATTTGAGAGGTAGCTTTGGTGCTTGGATGGGGAGTTAAGAGATATAGCGTCCAGTCCCAGCCCTTCCATGGGTTTCCTGTGTGTCCTTGAGATAATTTAACGTACGTGGGAAACAATTACTTTTATTTATGCCAACTGAGGAGAGCAGACCAGAAATTCTCTGAGGTCTCTCTCAGTCAGCTTTTTATGGAGGAAAGTGCACAAATCCTAAGTGAATGGCTTGATGGAATAATTGTCACAAAGTGGACACACCTTTGTAACAGCACCCAGATGAATGGAAAATTGCCAGCACCCCAGAACCCGCTGCCTCTAGTGCCCCTGGGAATAACCGATTGATTAGTTTTGCCTGTTTAAAAAATTCATGTGAATAGAATCATATACTATATATTCCTTTGTGTCTGGCTGATTTTTCTTATTATGTTTGTGAAATTTATCTACAATAGTTATAGTATTGTTTTCCACTCTCCTTGCTGTCTCAGTATTCAGTTATGTATCTGTTTTACAGTTGCTGAACATTTCAGTAGTTATCCAGTTTGGATGAATAACAAATAACACTTCGGTGAATATTTTTGTGCCTGTCCTCTGGTGATGATTGTATTTTGTTTGTTCAGGGACTACTCAGTAATTTAGATTCTGCAGATCCAGGGAGGGATGTTGGATGAAATAAATGTCTTTGAAGGCAGACACATTGATTTTAGGTAGCTAGCTGATTTGTCTGCCTCAGCCTGACCGTCTGAGCATGCTAGTCAGGAACAGAGGAAGATGTTTTCTCAGATTGCTCTTGAGGGTGTGGCCAGGTGGAACCTTCTCTGCTCTGTGTGTGGTGTGGGAGGCTTGCTCCCCTCGGAGCAGGGGCTCTGGATGGATACAGAAAGGGGTTACAGAGAGGAAGAGAAACTAGATCCAGAAGAGATAGACGTCTGGGCTACCCTAGAAATCATTAGGATATCTCATCAGCCAGATCAAGAGCTTGGAAAACTGACAACCCAGGGGAAGAATCTCGGCCGTGAGACCTAGAGAGTTTGCGGGGATGAATAAAGAAATAAATATTGATCCAGGCAGGCAGGCTGAATCTCAGAAGGAGCTCTCAAAGCATTTTCTGAACAAATTTACTCTGATTTTGTCAAATTTCTTTTTAAGTCTAATTTTCTTTTAAGGAAGCTTGGAAAAACCAGTCCCTAATGTATGAATCTTGAGCCAAGATGGACTTAATCAGTAGAATTACCAGACTGGGAGGGAGAAAATATGTATTTTCAAACAAGTATGGAGTGTGGGCCTGGGGGCCTTCCTATGTGACCATTCTGTTTTGAGGTCACAGCTCCACTGCTTTCTTTTCCCACGATCTCTCTGGATTAGCTTCTCCTCTGTAAAACAGGGATATTAATGTGCCGATCTGATAGGTTTGCTGAGACAGTTTGCTGCTGTAGCATCAGCACTGTGCTTTTGGGTGTGTTGCACTAGCACTAAAAATAATAGTCATTATTCCTACTATTTTTCTGAATCTTATTATTATGGATGTTGCCTGTTTGACTGTATTTATAGGAGTTTTCAGGTAATTTCTTTTAAAATATAAGACTAGTTTCTTTTTTAAGTATGGTGAAACTAATAAATATTTTCCTACTTGCCCCGCCTTAAGCTGAAATCAGAGGGAAGATGAAAGGAAACGTTTGTCCATGGGTTCTTGGCAGGCCCCCCTGCAGGGTGAGTCAGTGAAGACACTCTTGGTTGTTGGAACTGCTTTACTCGGTTAGTTCAAGAAGAGGCCAGTGGAGCTGAGAGTCATGGGGAAGTCGGGTCATTTTGCACAAAGGAAAATCATAATTTTGTTTGAGAAGAATTGACTCAATTCTTGCCAGGCATTTTGCAAACAAGTTACTGGGGGGGCTTTGGTGGGAGTCTCTGTGGGTGATTTACTTTTTTTTTTTTTTTTAAAGATTTTATTTTATTTGAGAGAGAGAGACTGAGAGCACGAGTGGGAAGAGGGCAGAGTGGAGAAGCAGACTCCCCGCAGAGCAGGGAGCCCGATGCGGGGCTCGATCCCAGGACCCTTGGATCATGACCTGAGCCGAAGGCTGATGCTTAACTGACTGAGCCACCCAGGTGCCCTCTGTGGGTGATTTACTATGCACCACCACACCCAGTATAGGGGGCGCATCCTAACTGGTTGGGGTTGGTGAATCTATTCACCTGTTAGTGATTCTGAGCTAGCTGTTGGGGCACATGGTGTAGATTAAGCTCAATTTTGCCCTCGGTGAGATTATGATCAAACGAGTGAATAATCTAGTGTTCTGAAAAGAAAACTTTTAGAGTGACTTGAGCAAAGAGAACATTCTGAAATTCTAGTTCCGACTTTTCTACTAACTAGCTATGGCACTCCACTCTATCATTTACCCTGGGCCTCAGTTTCTTTGTCTATCAAATCGGGAAGCTAGTTTAGATTGGCATTTTGAGGCAGAGCGCGGTTCTGTGAATTCTCTAAATGTAATACCTAGTTTTGGGTGTATTTGTGTTTTTCTAAGTGCTAGATTCTTTCACAGGTTCATCCTAAGCCAGAAGTTCCTTTGACTTCAGATTTGGGTACTTAGGAAAGTGGGTGAAGGAGTGGTTTCAAGATATGACCTAAGTTCACAAAATAGTTAATATCCACAGCAGATAAAAAATTAAATGACCGGAGTCTTGTGACTGACTTAAGGCTATATGAGTGTATCTAGATTTATTTTCACACCCAACATTTGCTTTAATGAGCTCTAATACACATGTTCTGTTCATTAAAGGGTGTGTATATTTACATATAAGCTGCATAAATAAATGTATTTAAATAAATGGCATAGCTGGATTATGAAAGCTGTGCTTGGCCTTCTCTCCTATCTCTGTTTAAATTCTCACGTCCCACATGACACAGTTGGGAGTGTCCCACCCCCCAAAATTGGATTTGTTTTGTTGATCCGGACATCAAAGCAAACATTAGTTTAAAAACACTTGATAATTGTCATAGAAATGACATTGGATTAATAGAATAATTAGCAAATCATGTTATTACTTATTACTTTTAAGTTCTGACCTCTGTCCTCTTATACGCAGGGGTATCTACATGAAGCTGATGCAGGAGGACATATAGGGAAGGATTAAACTAAAGATGTTGGGATGTTTGTACTTCCAGTCATTTAGATGTTCTGGCAATTGGCAAACAGAAGAAATAGCATTTGCTTCAGAGCACAGGCGACACCCTTGTCTCTCCGTTGTGGTCATGGTTCTCGAGATCACGGGTGGTGGTGGCGAAAGCTGTCTGGTTCTGCTTTGGAGGCTGAGTGGACACAAGAGTGAGGTGGGGCCTCTGGTCTGGCTTTGTTGCTGCCTTCTCTCCAGGCAGAGGAAGGCGGTGGGACTCTCTGGGTCATTAGGCCTGCTTATGGCGTCACTCCACCTCGTCATGTAGTGGGGTTTTTTGGATTTTGTTTTGTTTTGTATTAGATTTTATTTATTTACCTGAGAGAGAGAACGAGATCGAGAGAGAGCACAAGCACGGGGAGGGATAGAAGGAGAGAGAGAAGCAGACCCCCCACTGAGCAGGGAGCCCGACGCGGGGCTCGATCTCGGGACGGTGGGATCATGACCTGAGCCGAAGGCAGACGCTTCACCGACTGAGCCACCCAGGCGCCCTCATGTAGTGGGTTTTGAGCAGGCGTTTGGTGTCCCAAAGAAAAGCAACCCCCATAGCTCTGTTCCTTTGGGCTGTCTTTGTCCATACCCTGGTAATCTTTTTCACTTTAATTATCATACGGGGGTCAAAGTTTTCTGTCTCCCAACTGCCTTTTGTGGACCAAACATTCCCTATTCTAGGTAAATTCCTACTACACATTCTCAAAGTGCTGCTGGGGGTTGGTGATCTTACTTGGAATCGTGTCACATATGTGTTTTGTCTTGAGCTTTATTGGTTCATTATAACTTGAGGCAATCATGTAAATGAATTTCCATTATGAGACTTACAAAAGATTTTTTATTTCCATTTCCCCCCCCTCTAGTCATCTCTCCCTCTTCTACCAAGTATCTAGGATCTCCTTTACAATCAAGGGGGGGTGTGGTT